CTCTCAGATTTCGCATTGCTAAAAATGTGCAAATTGAATGCAAATAAAATCATATAATATCAAATTATATCAACATTCAATTTTGTACTACAATTCGTAGATTTCTATTTTAGAAAGTCCTTGTTTTTGACTATAAAGCAGCAATCCTCTAGCAATGGACTAGACTGTGGTATCATTGATTGCTTGGCGGCATTTCGCAGCTATGTTTTAATCAGAGATTGATTTATTATCAAGGGACTTAAGTGGCTACAAGCTGCTTGTGAAACCTCCCGCAACGCAACTCCAATTTGGCAGCTGGCGTTTGGTGCGTTTTGTGGCCAATCTGGCGAGAAAAAACTGTCAACTGACCAAAAACAAAAACAACGCAAAGGAATCAGAGACGAAAAGACCACAAATTAAATTAGGCGAGAGGCAGAAGGCGGCCAGTGCAATTTACTGAATTTACTCGAAGCTGCCAGCTAATCAAATTGCCTTATAACCCGATCTCAGCCAGCAGCGATCGTCGACCAATTCCCGCGTGGACAATTGCGACGGTGCTGGTGGTGCAGCCACACAGACGGTGGCGAGAGTAAATAGTTTCGTCTTGCCATAAAATTGGGCGAGGGCGGCGGCGGTGGCAGTGGAGAGCGGCGGCAGTTGGGGCTGGCAGCATCTGTCAATTGCTTGGAGATTGATGCCCCTGGATAATAGCGACACGAACAAACTGCGGAGTCAGCAGAGTCAACGGTTCAACGTGGAGGCTGCTGTCGCACCACCGTCGGTGGTCGCCTGTCTTGGGACAAACTGAATGACAACTCTTTAGCCGCTGGCCGTTGAATGTTGAATGTTGAATGTCGAATGTTGGGTGCTGCCTGTTGGTAACGGGATCTTAAAGCAAGTTATTTGCCCAAAAATGGTTTCGACAGGCGGCGAAGTGTCGCAGCCGAAGACAAGTGACAACGGCGCATGCGTGACTTGCCAATGGACCAATGCCGATGGCCAATTGGCAATTGGCAATCGGCAATTGGCAATTGGAAGACACCCATTGTTGGCCTGGCTGTGGCAGCGTCTCTCACTGATATGGGTATATGGTAAACGCATCGACTGACTGACACTTTGTCAGCATACGCAGCTTCGACAAATTTGCCTTGTTTCCCAACAGCGACGGCAGCTGCTTCTGCTGCTGCTTCTGCGGCAAGAGGAAGACAAATACGAAGACGAAGAAGAAGAGGAAGGGGCTCACAAGCTTAAGCCGGCAGCTGCATGCCTAGACATGGCCTCAGATGCATGGGCCTAGACAAAGGCCGCATTGTTTGCGGCGGGCAGGCAGGATGCAATAAAACGCAGTCACAGGTGCATCAAATGTTGGCTGCACGTTGCAGTCAACATGTTGCCAAGTCATTAACTTGAGCCTGTTTAGGCTTTTGTTATATGTTTGTGATTACTGCTGCTGCTGCTGCTGCTGTTGCTGCACTTGAGCGGGGCTGTAACAAAAGGCGGCCCAGGACATGGACATGTTATATGGACGTGCACTGCTGTTGTTGTTGTTGTTGGCTGTTTTGCTGGTTAATTGCAGTAGCAAAACTTAAGGGGCTGCTGCAGTGGCAATGGCGCTGGCGTTGGCAATGGTGTTGCCAGCGCCTTGAGCGTTTAGGCCATTTGAAAATTGCAGCCCTACAGCTGGCTGAGGGCGGTGAGGGGGATGTTGAGTCAGAGCAACCACTTTGGTCAACAACAACAACAACAAGGACAACAGCAATTGCTGCTCCTCCTCCTGCTGCCATTGTGTGCGTGTGTGTGTGTGTGTGTGCGAATTTTTATTGCCAAGCAAAACAACCCCCAAGTGGCGCACACATGCCAATTGTTCAAGTGAGTGTATGTGTGTGTGCGAGTGTGTGTTTGGCAATGTCAACTGGGGCGGCTCACAAGCTGCTAAGTGCACTTGCCCATCATTTCTTTGCATTTCGTTTGGCATTCAACTCCGCATGTGTGCAAGGATAGGTGTCTGGTGAGGGGAGTCGGAGGTGCATCTAACCCTTACATGTTTCAGCTTTATTTATTTTCCTTTTTCTACGGGTTTTCTTTCCTCTTTTTTTTTAGCAACTGCCATGAATACATAATGCATTTGAGGTGCTTCTTCCGCTACTCCCGGGCAGTCACAAAGGCGAGCGGCTAATTCAAATGATGGCACCCCGTCCCAGACCCGATGTGGACCAAGCCGACAGATAACTTCTATAACATTCTCCAAATGTGGCAGAAGGCTGCCAGCTGTGCTGGCCAAGGGCATCTTTGTTCGCCTTCCGTTGCCGTTGCCGTTGCCGTTGCCGTTGCCAGTCGGCCGGAAAGTAATTAAAATCTGCGCTTAAGTGCAGGTCCTTTAAAACAATGGTAGCTCAGAGGCAACAAAAGTGTTGAAAAGCTACTGAAATATGCAAAATGAAATATTTAATAGGCCTCGGTAACGAGCGACTTGAAAGCAAACGGCATCGCGTCGCACACAGTGGCGCCTTCTATCGGCAGGCGTGTGCACAAATCTCTGCATCCTTTTCGAAAAATCATAGAACTCAACAGCAAGTCCTTTTGCCACACATAACACCGAACGCCATCTGGCGGGCAGCTCAAAAACTGTTCCCAAACACATCGCAGGCGCAAAACATCGCAATGGGAACACTCGCGCCTGGCAGTAGGGGCATCAGAGCAGCGCAGGGGAAAGCAAGAAAGCAAAACATCGAAGCGATGTTCACATCGCACAAATGAGTTGCGCTCACACCGAAGGCACTCAGACTCAATTACCCCTGCGCGCATTCCACTCCACTCACAGCCGCAGCTCGCAGGAGCAAGGCTGAGTGAAAGAGAAGCGACTCAGAGTCGCATTGAGTGCGAACAACGTTTTGCTCAGTGTTGCGCCTGCTGTGCTAATTAACGAAAGCTGCATTCAGCAATCCGCATCACTCGCTTCCACTTTAATAATTAGTTCGCATTGGCATTAAGGCTGCCCCGCTGCTGCCTTGAATAATGCAGAGAAAGAAAAAGTTTATATGCCCCACACCCGAGCGATAATTGTAGCCAAAGAATGCGAGCCATTTTCAATATGTTTCAAGCATTTCTACAACGCAATCGAAAAACTTTTTTCCTTGCCACCCGCAGCTGCAGCCAAAAGTTTGCCAAAACAGAGAAGACCAAGAACCAAAAACCAAAAAACTAAAAAAAGAGAGAAATACAAAAACAAAGGAATAGAATATCTCTTCAAATGCAGCAAATGAGCAAAAAATGTAAAAAGTGGACTCGCTCGCCAGAGCAGTGGGCAGAGCAGTGGGCAGCCCACTAAACTGCGAAAATTGAAATGAAAATTACCCATTGTGGCAGCATTTCAGCATTTCAATTCAAACTCCCAACCTGCACGTGCCTTGTGCCTGCTGCTCTGTTCGGCTAATGGTCCATTGCAGTCTATGCCAATCCAGCCAGCCTCTTCTCCTTGTTCTTCTTCTTCTTCTTCTTATTTTTCTGAAGGCGACTGAGAATTTTATTCATGTCGTGCGACGTCAACGTTCGACTTTATTAGTTATTTTCTGCTCAATTTGTGCTCGACGGAGGCAGGATAACAAGAAAAATTATTTTCATTTCATTCGACATTTACCATAATGGAAAATGCGGAAAAATAGAAAGAAAATCACTTAGTTTGCTTCAGCAAAATGCATTCATTGGCACTCGAGCGAGCCACTTCCAATTGGGCACTAACGCTGGCTGTTCACAATTCATTGCAGTCTGGGCACGTACTAGACCTAGATATTTCCCTCTTGTTATGTAATTCATGTGCGAACAAAGAATATTAATATATACATATCTTATGAATGAACATATATCAGATTTACCAAATAATAATGTCTAAAATAATCTCAATCCAAAATAGAGGAATAACAAATGTACTTAAAGCTCTTAACAGTTTGCATAAGTATAAATTCATTTTTTATTTCAAACTAATATGAATAAATTTTGCATAACGGACTTGCGGAGTTATTATTAAATGTGTTGGTAGCTAGTTTTATTGAATAGCTTTAAGTAATAATGTTACATTCATTTAGATTTTAAAATTGGGGTTTCTTAATGTATGTTCTTTAGAGCAATTAAAATCTGAATAATAAATATGATATATTTACATATATTTGTATATAGGTTTTTAAAACACTTGAAATTAGATTATAATGATATAAATAGGTTTAACATATTCTTCCGATCCTTTTAGTTTTCCATTTTTCTGATTTTGTTTAAGTTTGAACCCATTGAAAATGGGAAATCAGGGTATAATGGTTTTGTTAAAAGTATGTA